TTTCCTGTTAAGTAGTTTCTCTAACAATTGGTACTAATTATTTTCTCAAAGTATTTCTTCCAAGTTTTTTCATCCAAGTCTTCTAAATATTGCTTCTCAGTATTTTCTCCAAGTCCAAGTATTCTTTTAAAAATTTCCTCTAAGTATTACCTCCAAGTCTTTAATGCAAAGCTGAACGATCACACACTGCACTACTGACCCCCATCAGGTGTGGGCGACTGAAGAAATGCTTCAGCTGCTGCCCTTTATATAGGGCGACTCTCACTCAAACACGAAGTCGCTCTCAAATGTTGGGCCCGACGTCAGGTAGGGGATCGTTGCAGTCGAGCTGAAGTGACCAATGGGATCACTCTCTGCTGCTTCAGGCATTCTAGCTTCGGTTTGCTCACATATAAATACCAAATGAATACTAGTGCATACGTAGAGATGACTGAGACGATCTTCTGTAGTTCTCCCTAGACATAGAGACAGACGGAGAGATGGACTGGACAGGGAGACAGAGAGACAACTATACAGACAAACATACGTGCTTGTGTATATATGCTTAAATAATTATACCCTACTCAATGTAGAGAATTAGTTTATATAAATAAATATCAATTAGGTAATAAATTTATGAATACTTTTTTAAGGGGCATAAAAAACTAATTAATACTATATTTATGCATAAAAATAAAAATAATAATTTATACACATACTATTATATGTGTATAAATTCGTATTCTTATGCCCATTAAAAACACACAACCATATAAAAACCCAGATATACATATAAATTCACTTACCGATAAATTTCTCAATGCCCTTGATTACAATGGCTAATGTGCTTTGTCGTTGCTTTTGACGTAAAGTTATATAGACGCCGTGCTTGATATTCAGGCCCATTATTTCGGAGGCATCAGTCTGATTGTCCGGAAAATCAAATATCAATGCTACGGGCATATTGCCGAGCAATTGCTGTCGGGCCCTATAAACATCGTCGATGCGTCCACTGATAGTCACCTGCGATTTTTTCAACGGCTTCACATTCATATCAGACAGATCAGGAAATATGATTTTGGTCTGGGTGCGTTCCATAATGCTCAATAGATTCACATTATTCTTGCCCTTAACAATCTCATGATGTTGTGGCGAGATCTCCATTTGAACATTCACAAGGATTTGACTCTGAATTGATGAGAGCATGGGATAGGAGATTTAGAGAATCAGGAATTGGTGTAAGATGTATTTTCAATTATTCTCTTGAGTACTTACCGCAATGCTCTCGAAAGCAAAGTTGATCAGCAATTGGGTGGCGTCGCGCACCTGAGCTGATTCCTTTTCAGAGCCTTTGACCAGTACCAGAGACGTATGTAGCTTAGGACGTGATGAAAATATGACCTGAAATTTATTTGAATACAGTTATTACAAGTTGAAAAACAATTAAAAAAAAAAAAAAGAAAAGGATAAGCTATGGTCAGAAAAGAAATTAGTTAGGTCCACCAAGATAATTAAGATTTAGTTAATTTACTTGGAACATCGATTTTGAATCTTAAATAGTTCGATTAAAGTTCTCGAGAAGAGCTCTCACGTCTGATTATATTGAAACCTAATGAAGCCTTATGCTTAAACTAAAAATTCTATTTCTATTTGTTTTTAGACTCCTAATAGATTTACCTGCACATTGAATTTGCTCTCAATCATTTTGATGTATGGCGTCTCGTGGTCCGGCTGTGGTTTGCCCGGTCCCATGACGGGCATCTCGAACGAGATGAGCAATGGGGTGGATAGACGGACCAAAGCTCTGGCACGCTCCACACCCTCGAGGCTGCCGCACAGCGACACCTGATTCGATTTCTCCGTCGGATTCGAGCGGTTCGAGTCCGGGAAATGTATGTGCGTGTGTGTGTCGTCCATGATGCGTTTTATATTGTTGCCGCCACGTCCAATGATATATGAATGATCCGTATAGCTAACATCCATTTTCATAATAACACGAGTGCCCTAAAAACCCAAATATCGAGAGATGTCAAATTGCATCTATAGAGGAATTTTCGGATTTAGTTTAGACTTACCCTGGAGTCAAGACTGCCAAGAATATGATCTTTGGCGCGTTGCACCTGATCCACCTTACCCACAATACGTACATGGGGATCTATAGCATGAAAATTTATTTGTATAGAGTGCCATTTAGGGAACACAGATTCCAGAGATCGTAACTCACCCTTCTTGCTCTTGGCGCCAATCTTCAGTCTGCAAGGCCAGCTTACATATGTATCAGTGGTGCTCATGATCTGAAAGATAATAAGTATATTTGCATATATAGTGGGTGTATATATGCGTCTTTATATAATACACTTGAATTTTGTATTAGTAATTGGATTTAGCTAAACATTTATGGTTTCTTCACTAAAATTTGTAATTTGTCGGCTAAATGTTTAAACGTAAATTTTGCAGTAACGTTTAAACAGTTTTTATTTTAGTGATATGCGTCTGTAATGTACAAAAATTCCAATACCTACTGAGATAATAAACAGTTCACACTTCTCAAATGCAAAACAACAAATGATTGAAAACTCAAAGTAAATTACGTCGATACTTTACGATATGTATCTAAAGAGCTTATATCAATTGATGAAATATAATCAAAAGCTTTCGATATTAAATAGAAAAGAAATATCTTTAAAAACTATCGATAACGAATAATAAAGTAATATATAAAAGAGAATAATAGAGTGCAAGTTTTCTCTGAGTTAAGTAAGTAGAAGAGTTTTTTTTTTTCCTATCAAAAAGTAGAATATAAGAATATTAATTAATACATTATGACTTGAATTTTATTATTTAATTTCTGCGTATTGTTATATAGTATATATATATAGATATTTCTTAAAAATATATTTTAATTCTCAACTTACATTATCAAAGAAATATTCTGCACCATTCATGCCTTCAATGGCGCTGTCCGCTGTGAAATTTAATTATTATTAGTATTAATATTTATGAATAGCAAGAAATATATTTTAAAATTTAAAGATAAAAAAATTTATTTTATTTTTATATACTAATATATATTCTATATGCAACATAACAATAATAGCAATGAAATTCACGTTTTTCTTATACAATAAACCAGAAAAAGAAATGTGTGCTATTTTTGCTTTCATTAATGTGCTGACTTTTTTTTTTTTCTTTCTTCTTCTTTTATTTTATAGACAGATTTATATTTAAATAAACGCATATCTATGTCCATTTATATATTAACGCTTATATTTAATTAGCCAGCTTACCCTTTAGCAACTGCTCTAGCTTCTGTCGATCAACCTTGAAGCGCTCCGTATGCAGATCGTCCACATTCTGTACGCCCAACTTGAGTGCAATCGCGCGAATGTCACTCCAATCGCTGTCCACCGAGGAGATCTCGCTTTGGGTCTCGCTCGGTGCACGGGGCAGTGGCAAGGAGTTGAGATTGGCCCCAACTGGAGTTGTCTTGCCACTGGCCATGGCGGTGACCTCGGCGGCCGTTGGGTAAATCAATTTATTGAATGACGCACAGGAGAGCATCTTGTTGATTATCGGCTATCGGTTGTCGGTTATCAGTTATCGCTTATCGCTTAACGACTGCTGTTCTTGTTGTTCGGTTATCAACTTGTTCAATTTGTTTATCGAATGGTCGTTTAGTTTTTCAAACCAAGCAAAAAGGTCGTTTAGTGGCTGTCCGTCGGGAGGTTGTGGAGGAATTTGTCTTCCAGTGTGTGTGTGAGTGCTTGAGTTTTAGTGTGTGAGTGTGTGTTCGTGTGTATGTGTTTGGGTGTTCGTGTGTGCGTATGTGTGTGTGTGGGGTGTGTTGCTCCTGAGCAACACTGCGATTGATGAGATGAGCTGTGGACAGAAGATGGAAGCCAAATATGAGCATGACTAAATTAGCATAAGTGGAAGACTGAAACTGAAAGAAATTCTATATATAATTTAAGGACAAATATAAGCAATAAAATTTAAATATAATTTTTTTTTATTTATTTAAGTATTCTCTAAAAACACTATAAAATTTCAATTTATTAATAGTTTTTAAATTACTTTTAGTCACTCATTANTATAGTATATATATATAGATATTTCTTAAAAATATATTTTAATTCTCAACTTACATTATCAAAGAAATATTCTGCACCATTCATGCCTTCAATGGCGCTGTCCGCTGTGAAATTTAATTATTATTAGTATTAATATTTATGAATAGCAAGAAATATATTTTAAAATTTAAAGATAAAAAAATTTATTTTATTTTTATATACTAATATATATTCTATATGCAACATAACAATAATAGCAATGAAATTCACGTTTTTCTTATACAATAAACCAGAAAAAGAAATGTGTGCTATTTTTGCTTTCATTAATGTGCTGACTTTTTTTTTTTTCTTTCTTCTTCTTTTATTTTATAGACAGATTTATATTTAAATAAACGCATATCTATGTCCATTTATATATTAACGCTTATATTTAATTAGCCAGCTTACCCTTTAGCAACTGCTCTAGCTTCTGTCGATCAACCTTGAAGCGCTCCGTATGCAGATCGTCCACATTCTGTACGCCCAACTTGAGTGCAATCGCGCGAATGTCACTCCAATCGCTGTCCACCGAGGAGATCTCGCTTTGGGTCTCGCTCGGTGCACGGGGCAGTGGCAAGGAGTTGAGATTGGCCCCAACTGGAGTTGTCTTGCCACTGGCCATGGCGGTGACCTCGGCGGCCGTTGGGTAAATCAATTTATTGAATGACGCACAGGAGAGCATCTTGTTGATTATCGGCTATCGGTTGTCGGTTATCAGTTATCGCTTATCGCTTAACGACTGCTGTTCTTGTTGTTCGGTTATCAACTTGTTCAATTTGTTTATCGAATGGTCGTTTAGTTTTTCAAACCAAGCAAAAAGGTCGTTTAGTGGCTGTCCGTCGGGAGGTTGTGGAGGAATTTGTCTTCCAGTGTGTGTGTGAGTGCTTGAGTTTTAGTGTGTGAGTGTGTGTTCGTGTGTATGTGTTTGGGTGTTCGTGTGTGCGTATGTGTGTGTGTGGGGTGTGTTGCTCCTGAGCAACACTGCGATTGATGAGATGAGCTGTGGACAGAAGATGGAAGCCAAATATGAGCATGACTAAATTAGCATAAGTGGAAGACTGAAACTGAAAGAAATTCTATATATAATTTAAGGACAAATATAAGCAATAAAATTTAAATATAATTTTTTTTTATTTATTTAAGTATTCTCTAAAAACACTATAAAATTTCAATTTATTAATAGTTTTTAAATTACTTTTAGTCACTCATTAAAAGAGAGGAAAAATATTCATATATATGCTATCAGTGTTTCTAGTATTATTTATTAGTAAACAGAAAGCAAATATAGTTCAACAGAATTTCCAACATATATTATTAGTTGCAATATTTGTCCTATTAATATTAGGTGAAGTTATTGAAAGAATATATTTGCGATACTTAAAGATAAATTTTCCTTATTAATTAAATTTGAATTTTAATATTAACAGTTTTAAAAATTGTATGAACATTAACATTTTAATTTATTTATTATTCTCATGTATTAATTGACTATAGGACTTAAGAACTTTTTGCTTTCTAATGCATTTAAGCCTAAAGAATTTAATTTGTTTTCTAATTAAATTTATATATGAAAATGATATAAAATGTCATTTAATTGTTTTGTTCCTCCAATAATTTTAGAATATTTAAAATAGAAAAGCTCTAATAACTACAAAAATTAAAAAAAATAAATATAATTTTTTAAAAAGAATCACCATCTTTGGTCTGCGTTTATTTTCATTATATTCAAATATAATTATTTGGTATATGAATTATTTGGTACATATCTTCAGGTATTTGATTTCTTTTATTGTTAAATATTCCTTTTTATTTTTATATACTTATTTATCTTATTGCAACATTTCTAGAGCACAACCATAACCTCTATGTAAGACTTAAGACAGCCATGAGGTTTCTTGCTTATGTCTTGATCCATTTTCAGAAACGGAAAAGCAAAGAACACGCCAAAAAATTAGGGATACACATAAATTTACAGCTAGACTTTCACTTCTCTATGGCACTTTCACACTCACACTCACACTCACACATGCACACACACGTGGCACTCACTTACCGAACCAGTTCGCCAGCTCTATTTGAGATTGAAGAGGCCTTGAAAGTCCAAACAAATAGCATGGGTTAGGTCCTGGACGAATTGTATGGCCTCGACGAGACAAACGTTCATAACAAAATTACGAATTTGTACGAATCTTTCAACGAAAGGCATTTATACTGGTTTGGATTTTTGTTGTGTCTATATCAGTATATAGAGTATTGAGTCTTTAATAATTATTATAA